TGAGTATGAGCAGAGCAGAGCATGCTCTGCTTGAGGGTTGAGGGGGATGAGGCAAGAAGAGCTGTTGTCACACAATAAGGCCACCTCCCTACCTCACCCTCAAGGAAAAAAATACTCCTTTGTCTTCTATATTTTCAACTTAGAAGCTGGGCATGGTGGCAATGCCCATAATTCCAACACTCAGGAGGCTGAGGCAGGAGGATTATCATAATGAGTTCAAGACCCTGTCTCCGAAAAAACAAAGACCAAGGAAAAAGAAGTTAATTAATTTAGAGTAACACATTCAGTTTCAAGATTAAAAAAGTAAGCCAGGAGGCAATTTAGCACCAAGTGTCCTCCATCCAGAAAAGAATGTTGGTGGCCCATTGACTTCAGCCCTGAGGCTACACAATTCAAGACAGACTCCCCTTCCACTGAGCTCCAGTCTTCCAAGAACATGCTGATCCTGGGCAGAGCATGAACACCTCCACTGTGAGCCCAGAGCCGAGGGCCCCCTCTCACCTCCTTCAGCTTGAAAAGGAGAGGAACAAACGCCCCCCCCCCGCCATGCACCCCCTCCACCACACTCCACTTCTTCTCCTCACTTTCACACCCAAAAACCCACAGCCCTTTCAACCTCAACACTCACCTCAACTCCTGATTCAGCTTAAATGTTCACAGTTGAGGACAGAGGGGAAACTGACCCCATTTAACAGACAGGGAGATGAAATGGAAACAGATTCTAGTCCGCTGTGAAACCACAGTCCTCCCAGTACAGGCTCTGGCCACTGCCCCCAGACAACCCCAGAGGCTGCACTGAGTGTACCCTAAGCACAAGGATGCTCCCAGGCAGAGCACTACAGCTGGGTGAGTATGGGACTTCAGCAAGGGCAGCCCAGAGAAAAGCAGGGTTGGAAGCCAGCCAAACACCACCCAAACACTGAGGTTCTCGGGTGAAAAGAGAACTGAGAACAGCCACCCAGGCTGACCCTGCTGGGGACATCCTCAGGTACCCCTTGCACTCAGCAAAGAGCCCCCTGCCTCCTCACTGGGCAGGGCATTTCCGAGTTAGCTTCCCTAGGGCACTGTCTCTGCCCTAAAAGTCCCACATAGCCAGATGTGATAGGACATATCTGCGATCCTGGCACTAAGGAAGCTGAGGCAGGGGAATCACAAAAGCTGAATCCAGCCTGAACTACACAGTGAGACACCATGGGGGGAAAAAAGCCCCACAGGTCAAGATCTTCCCTTGGCCTGCAGGGACTTGGAAGTAGTGCTACTGTCCCTAAGTGTCCTTTCCCCACACCTGAGGCCACCTGAGAGGATCCCAACCCCCAAGGCACCTGCATCATCCTGCAGCACCCCCCCACCTCCCGCCTTCTCAGTCCCATGGCCTGAGTCAGACTCTGATCACCTCTGCTGGGTCAGGATAAACATCAGCCCCACACTGGTCCCGATGCTGCCAGTCTCGCCACCACCTTTGGCCAACTGATCCCTAAGAAAAGCAACCTGATAGGGCTCACAGAGATCAGGTGTGGGTTCAAATTCTAGCTCTGTAAGTGACTCTACCTCCCTGAGCCTCTGTTTCCCCCATCTGAAAATGGGGTGGGGGTGGGATTGCTGGCAGTAGTGGTGGCGGCTGTGGTGGCTCCTTGTGGAGCATTGTGCACTTTCAATGGGGCGTCTGTACAGAGCCTGGCACGGTGCCTGACCCAAGGCACAGTAGCAGGCATCGCCTCAACGAGCTGCTTACAGCCCTGTCTTCTCTGTCAGCTCACAAACCTGGGAGCAGGATTTGGGCTCCCCGCGATCCAGCCTTGTCCCCCTGGTCACCCTTCCACAGCCTGCCATGCTTCCTCCTCCAGGAAGCCTTGCTGACATTTACGAGCAGAGCTGTCCCTCCGCTGCCCTTTCACAGCCCATCTAGCACCAACACAGGTCACATCCGGCCTGACAGCTGTCCCTTGGATCCTGTCCCTCCTCCTCCAGTCAAAACCTAGCGGCACCTCGTGCTACTCCATGTCCCTGTCACCCCTTGCCACAGACATTTTCCATACATATTTAACAAATTACCCTAACATTCCACTTCAAGCAAAAAAAACACCCAAGTCCTCCAAACAGTCCAGAAATTTCAAGCCATACTCAAAACCAAATTCCAACCCAGCAAAAGTTTGCCCAGCCTCCAGAGACACCCAGGCCTGGCTCTGGTCCTGAAAGCACAGACATGAGTCCAAAAGCAGGACCACGGGTCACAAGCCCAAGGCAGAGACAGCTATATGCAGTTTCTTGGCCGGCTCTTAGGCTGACCCCCAGTCTATGGCTTCTCAGATTATAGCACATCTTCAATCTATGATTGCAAAACCATTCTTTGCATACTCACTGTGAGAGGAGGCTCACTACCCCTCTTTAGCTTGCTGGTTCCTTCCCTTCACCTATTGACTCTTGCATAGCTTTCTTTCTGCTCTGATCCCGACAACCAGGAGAGTGTGACCATAAGACAAGGGACAGCCCAGCTGCATGGACCCTGTCAGCTCTCTAGCCCCCTCTTCTTGTCTGAGTCCTCCCAAGATGCAGCTTAAGACTGAGGATATAGCTCAGGGGCATAAGTGTCTGCCTGGCAAGCACAAGATTCCAAGTTCGGTCCCCAGTACCACAAAAAAAAAAAAAAAGATGCAGTTTAGTGGAATTTTCAGTTTTGCTCCTATGAGCTAATGTGAACTGTCAGCCCAAAAAGGCTCCCATTCCAGGGTATCCAGGGCCTACAAACCATGGCATATCCCACACTGCTCAAACAGCCCTCAGAGAACTCAGCGCTATATAATTCACACTCTCCTCCCCCAAGAACTCCTTTTATTATCTACCCCAACCACCACCTGAGGGAATCACTGAGAGTTCCAGGCCAGCCTGGGCTACACTGCTGAGTTCAAGACCAGCCTGGGTTGTATAGTGAGAGTTGGTCCCAAAAAGAAAACAAACAAAAGACTAGTTCAGCCCAGGGCTCGAGAGCATTGGGAGTCTAGGCCATCACACTATTCACTTCTGGGATTTTTCCTGAGATCCTCTGGAGTGGCCAACTCTGGGCTAGTGGATGTGAAGATGAGCATTCTCAACTGGGACTCTGCAGTCCTCACACTAGCTCAGAGTCTACCCCCTATTTCTAGCAATGAGGACCATGGCTAAGTCACACAAGCGCACATGTGAGACATAAATGCCAGGGCCTCAGGTCTCTCATCTGCCCCAGGGATTACTTCTGAGCCCTGTCTCTGCCCCCTGCTGATCTAAAGTGACCTGGTGGTCTCAATGGAGATGTCAGGCTCTGCCATCCCCTGGGTGCCCCAGGGAAAAAGCTGTTGACAAAGCCACCAGCCGGCCCCAGTTGGAGCCAAGGAGACAGGCTCCTCCCTTCACCACCCACACTGAGAGAGCGTTCCTGCCTCTGGACCAACCAGCCACAGACCTTGGACCATCGCAGAGCTCCAGGCCCAAGCTGCCACTGGCCTCCCTCCTGCTCCTGCTGGCCACACTAACAAGAGCCAGGGCACAAGACTCACCCAGGCAAGTGGCAGGCAGAAGGGAGATGGGGAGGAGGGGCAGGTGTCCGCAGAATTTCAACTGAAAATGAAACCATGAGGCCAGTCCTAAAAGACCTGTGGAGACCTGTAGCTGGGATATGGCTGGGGTCAGAGGTCACCCCCCAGCTGCCACACTTCCTACCTGTGTGACCTTTATCACTGCCTCAGTCTCCTCTTCTGTAAAATGTAGTTAATAATAACACAGGAGAACTAAATGAGATAATGTATATAACACAATTAATCAGGCTAATACCCAACATGTAGTAAACATGCTATAAAGACTTGTTGAATATAAGTATGCCGACATTTACTGAGGTACAGATTCATTTCTTCCTCAGTATGGCATACTTTATCCTTCCCATTTCACAGGTAAGGAAACTAAGGCTTTGGCAAAAGGAAGGAACCGGTTCAAGGTCACACAGCTGGGAAGTGACAAACACCCTGATCTGATTGACCCTCAATGCAAAGGGTAAGGGTGCTCCAGACCATTCCGAAGGTCTCCCAGAGGCTGAGGGAGGTCAGACAATGGGGCGTGAGGGGGTGGGGCTCTCTCTCTGTCCCCCGAGCCTGGCACGGTTCCTGGCATGAAAAAGCCAGGTGGCGTCCTCAAATTCCTGGCTGGTCCCTGAACCCCAGCGTCCTACGGGTGTCCCCTCCCCACTCCAGTCCCAGAGCATTACAGAGCAGCGCTGGAGGGCACTCGTTGCTCCGGGAACCTGGGGAAGAGGGGAGTCGGAGACCAGGCCGCGCAGAGCCGCAGAAAACCGGTTGGGCTGCCTTCCCCTTCCCAGCCGGGACCCGGCCTCTAACCCCCTCCCTCACCAGACAAAAGTTTCCCCTGTTCGCAGCCGGAGAGGGGGAGGGGGCATTCCTCGTGAGTGACATTATCCGTGACCTACAGCTGCCGTGCCGCCCCGGCCGGCACCCGCCCCGCTGGCCCCTAGTGTCCGAGCCCCGCCGTCCCGCACCCGGCGCCTTGGGCCCTGGACACCGCCGCCGAACCAAAGTTGCGCCCGCAGCCACAAGGGCCCCGCGCGGCCTGCACGCCTGGTTCGGGCCCCGCCGGCTCAGCCACAGGGGATCGCCGGGCCCCGACCTCCTGGCCTCTTACCTGCCGCGGACCCGGAGCCACCCGGGCGAGTGCGCTCCTGGAGAAGCGCGGACGCCGGGGTTCCGGGCCAGGCGGGTTAACCCCTTCGCGGCCGCCGCCACCCCCGCTCCACGCCGCAGCCGAGCGCTCCGCCTCCCGCGCGCCGCCCGCTTCCCTCCTCCTCCCCCCACCCCCCGGCGCCCAGCCCCCAGGCCCCGCAGGCACTACGCTCGGTGGCTGGCGCTGCCCGTCCCGGGGCGGGAGAGGGCTCCCCGAAGGCCGGGATTTGGGGAGCACTGCCTCGCACAGGCGCCGAGAGGCGTCCGCTCGCCGCTCCCTAGCCCCAGCCCCGCGCCTACCTCCGCGGAGCCTGGCCGTGCGCGCAGGGCTCGATCCAGCCACAGCTCAATCCCTACTGGGCCGCGGGGCAGCGGGCGGCGAGCGCCCCGGGGCGGAGGCCGGGGCGGACCCGCGCTGTGATGGGCTCTGGGTTTCTCGGCTTCCACCCGGATTCTCCCTCGGCTCTCCCGGCCGATTCGGTGCTGCTCGGCGACCACGTGACGCCGGCTGCCTTTGACCCCGGTCTCGGAGCGGGTAGGGGGCGGGGGCCGGAGGGGCTGTCAGAGGCGAGACCTTCGAGAACCCCTCGCAGCTGCCGAGGATCTTGAGGGCGATGACCCCAGGGAAACAAAGCCTGGGGGAAACCAACAAGTTATTCGGGGTCAGACAAGGAACAGCGCTGGGGGTCGAAAGAGGCGGCAGACAGGAGGAGGGAGACAAAGACCCGAGCCCGCCGCGCCGCGCCGCGCCTCTGAGGGCCCGAGAGCCCCAAGAGCGCCCAGCCAGGCCCGCGGGATCTGCCCTGCACCACCACCGCTGGGCCAGTGACAGCTCTTAGGGCCTCCTCGGACAGCTCTCTCCTGACAAGGCGATCTCTGCTAGAGTGACACCCCCACCCTGGAGGACCTCCCTACCCCAGCACACCCCTTTGCCCTTCGCCCAAACCCCTTCAGGTCCTTTTATCTCAGTTGTAGGCTCCAGTACTGACTGGTTCATTGTTCGCCAGAATGGCATCTCCCCCAACAAGTTGTTCCCAGCTGAATCCTCTGCTTAGCAGCTACTGGGCAGATGAGAGGTGGATGACCTTGTGCCAATTTCTTTTCCCTCGGTGACTGTTTCCCACCCAACCACCCCCTACCCCAGCATCCCATCCACCTCAAGGGCCCTGCATGTCAGACAAGGTGTCCCCACTAGGCAGATGGGAATGCTGAGGCCCAGATAAAGGAGATGACTTCTGCAAGTCATGTGTAGCCAAGACCCAATTCGGACCTTCCTGCCATCCTTGGACCAGCCTGTATTATGGACAAGGGGGGTGTTGGCTGTGAGTCCTTTAAGGAAGTTATTTTATTAATGATACAGTTTGCCAGGCACCTCCCCTGGAGATCCTATTTCTGCAGGTCTGGAAGAGGCCAAAGGCAAATTTGGAAAACTGAATTACTCGATACTTAGGACCTTCAGAAGCTCAAGATTTTAAACTCAGGAATAAAGCTCAAAAAAATCTCAGAGCAATCAGAGCAAAGCACAAGCTCAAAGAACCAAGCTGGCCATGTAAGGATAGCACAGACCCATCCCCCTTTGTAACCCCTTATGCAGGGGGAAGGGGCTTCCTATGGGCCTGTTCATGTTTCCTCAGGAAAGATGTTGAAGCTGAACATAGATCTTGGGAGATGGAGCCAGATTCTGCTTCCCAAGGTACCCATGGGACACCATAGGGTGTGGTAGCACAATCAGCTAGGACTGAGCCTAAGGATGATGGCTGCAGTCCCAAACTGCAGGCCATATTCATCCAAGTATGTACTCCAGCCACCACCTGTGGGGCTGGAGAAAACAGCACAGACTAGCAAATTCTTGGTGACCTGGTTCCTGTGGCAAGCAATCCAAAGTCTGGAGGTGGTCTGGGTCTTGGGCAGAGTACACAAAAGCCTTAGAAGGTCACCCTGCCAGGTACAGTCCTGTGCACCTCTTCTCTGCACTAGGGCACTATGCTTCTGACTAGAGAGGAACAGGGCTAAAAGGAGCTGTTTTGGGATGACCTGCATGTCATTCCTCGTGGCCCACAGAGCAGTTTGAGGGCAAGTGTGATGGTCCACGGGAGGACAGCCTGTGAGGAGGCTTGAGGGGCACAGGCTCTGAGCAGGGCCAGGGAGAAGAGGTGAGAGGTGGGCAGGCCCTGCACAAGGCACAAAACCTTTACACAGGTAAAGGCCTCAGAAAAATCTGAGTGTTGCCAGGGAGTAGGATGGAGGAAGCAAGAAGGAAAGTGTGAGTAGGGGACAGGAGTGGACAGATGAGAGAGACAAGTGAAGGTGGTGAGCAATCCCATGCATGCCACCCCTGAGGCCAGAGAGGCATCCACTGTGAAGAAAGTATGCCCCCTTTGAGTATAGGGCAGCCTGCCAGTTTGGGTGACTCTCATTTCCCTGACAGCCTTTCGCCCTCCTCCCCAGTCTACAGTGGTACTGAGCTAGGCCAAAGCCTTCCAGATGGCTGTCCACTGGACAGCCTAGGAGGCAGATGGGGAGCCCCCCTCCCATCAGGGGGCAGCCCAGCCAAGGTGAGGAGGCTGAGAGTTTCCTAAATCCACCCCCTGGGAGCCCCAGGGACCTGCCAGTGAGCTGCCCTGTGGCTCCCTCCCCTCAGGACCTTCTGCTCAGAGCACCCCTGCCTGGGCCCCTCCTCAGACCCAGTAACCCTCACTGCAATGCTGGGCAGCTTCCTTAGATCTTCGCAAGCCAGCTCCAGGTCAGGTCCAGAGCTGCCCTCCCTGCACTCACCTGGTGCACGTACCCCACCTCCAGGCCCAGGCAGGGGCCCACATCCTACCCACAGGCAGGCCCCATTGCTCCTGCCTCTGCTTCTATTGCTTGTTTGTTTTGTTGTGTTTTTTGGTACCAGGAATCAAACCCAGGACCACTTGCCAGACAGGTGCTGTGCCCTTGAGCTGTATCCCATTTTGCTTTTTTTGACAGTGTCACTAGGTAGGCCAGGCAGTCCTCCTTGCTCAGCCTCCTGAAGTGCTGGATTACAGGTGTGTGCTACCACACCCTGCTTCAGCTTTTTCTTTTCTCCATCCTCATCACTCCCCTAGCCCAGGCCTCCCATCACCCATCATCTCTGCCCTGATCCAGGATGACATCTTCCCTTCACCCCTAACCCCAGCTTTAATGCAGCCTTGTGGTACCTGTTTCCTACTGAAAACCAACAACAGCTCTCACTGTCCTGGGACGAAAGCTCTGCTATGGTGTGCAGCCCCACTGTGGGGTCCACACCCCATTTCCCTTTCAACTGACTGGTGCCTTGTGAAGGGTCTGGATTTGATCCAGATTCTCTTCTGGGTTTGTATCCTGGTTCTGCCACATTTAAATTACATGAACTTGGTCTGGTTTTCTATTTCTGTGTTGTTTTCTCATCTCTAAAGTCTGGGCAAGGGCTGGGGAGATAGCTCAGTGGAATAAGTGCTTGCCTGGCAAGTACAAGGTCCTGAGTTTAATCCCTGATACTGCAAAAATAAATAAATAAATAATAATAAAGCTGGAGGCATGGCTCTCATTGTTATCCCAGCCTTCCTTAGGAGGTTGAGGCAGAAGGATCCCCATGATTTCACTATGTAGTTCAAGTCCAGCCTGAACTACATAGTGAGATTGTCTCAATAAATAAGTAACAAATAGTGTGGATAATAACAGTATGTGCTTCTGAGGGCTGCTTGTAAAAATGAAATCAGTGACATATGGAAAACTCTTAGTGGTATCTGTCACAGGTAAGCACTATATAAACGCTCACTGGATGACTCACTGTGATCTTGTAGGCTCCAGGTTAAACTTCATTTCCTCCCAGGCCTTCTCCAACCACCTAACTCAGGCCATGTTCCTAGTGCACACATCCTCTCCTCACCACTCTCCGGGAGCCTTGTCAGTAGAAACTTCAATCAGGACTGAGTCGGTCTCAGACATGCCTGAGCCGGTGCCCCACATGGCCAGGGTGCATCTCGGTAACCGGCACAGCTGGGCTGACTTTGAGATGAGAGGAGATTGAATGAATTCATCATAGAACAGAGTACACTGCCCACCAGCAGGTGCCAATGATGGCACCTCACTCTTCACTCACTGGACACTGACTAGTGAGCACCTCTTCTAGAATCTTCCTCCAACCGTCCTGCTGGGGGAGGAGGAAGAGACACAGTGATGAACAAGACAGATGTCACCCCTGTCCTCAGCAATATCCTATGGTGTCCACTCCAGACAGACCTCTAAATCCATAGGAATTTGAAATACAATATAACTGTGTTGCTTTATGATTTTTAGGTTTGGTTTTGTTTTGTTTAAGACAGGTCTCACTGTATAACCCAGGCTAACCTAAAACTCAGGGCAATCCTCCTGCCTCAGCCTCCCAAGTGCTGCGGTTACAGGTGTATATCACCATGGCCACTCTCAACCATGTGATTTTTATGGTCTGTAGTGATTTTCTTGTCCAGAAAGCTAGGGTCTTTGGAATTATGAAACAATGAAAGTGAAAAATAACTTTAATATATGTGCCCCATGCCTTTAGCCAGCAGCACTGGTAAGAACAAAAGGAATAGATCCTGTTCTAAGCACACCAAGCCAGCTCTCTTTCCCTCCATGTGGACCTCCTATTCAGCCCTCTTTTATTTTTTTATTTTTTGGTACCAGGGAATGAACTCAGGACCTTGCGCTTGCCAGGTAGGTGCTGATGCCACTGAGCTATATCCCTAGCCCATATTCAGCCCTCAAAGCCCTGTATATGCAGCACCTCCAGGAAACCTTGCTGCTCTGGTTAGAGACCTGCATGGGCCCCAGTCACATCTATAGTGCTTTTGTGGGAATAGAGTTAGATTTGTCAAGGATAATTCAAATTTCTTTTTCTTTCATTCTTTTTTTTTTTTTTTTTTAATAAGGTCTCACTATGGGCTGGAGAGATGGCTCAGTGGTCTAAAGCACCTACTTGGAACAAGCTTGGCAAAGCACAGGGACTGCGGTTCAATCCCCCAGCACCACATGCCAGCCAGCCCCACCCCCTGGTGGGCTGAGCTGGCCACACACACACACACACACACACACACACACACAATGAATAAATAAATAAATAAATAAATAAAATTTAAAAAAAAAAATAAGGTCTCACTATATAGTTCAAGACTGGTCTTGAACTCATCCGGTATCCCAGGCTGGCCTCAAACTCAAGGCAATCCTTCTGCTTCAGCGTCCCAAGTGCTGGAATAACAGGTGTGCACCACCACACCCAACTATGGATGATCCAAATTTCACGTCATTTATTTCTTTTTAAAGATAAAAGGTTTTACAATGAATGTATAACTACATCTGACTTCGTGTTTGGACTTCAGTGAAGGCAGAAAATAGCCTCTGTCAGCCCATGTGACCAGATTTGTGGTTTGGAGAACATGGTCACCATAATTACAGCACTGACCACACGCTGTAGCCATTTCCTCGTTTCCTCTCCTCTCTTT